TAAAAACCATATGTATAAAATTAAAGTTTTAATTTAATTTCAAAAAAATATTTTTGAAAAATAAACTCTAATTTTTCTAAATGTTAACCTAAAATGTTTTCGGCCAAAATTTAACTGAATTTAAAAAGCTTTTGTTATTAAAATTATAACTTATATTAATTATAATTTAATTAAAATTATAAATTTATTTGAGAAAAAGAAAAGTTTAAGTTTGTAAAAACATTTGTTAAAAAAGTTATAAAAGTTCTGTTAGCGTTAGCAACAAAAAAACATTAAATATGTTTTAACAAAGTGATTATTTCATTCAACAAATTATTATTTCATTGTTTTAATGATGCGAAAATATTATGAATTTATATTTTAATTAAACAAATGAAACAATGAAAAAAAATGAAAGCTTATGAATTTCTTTCAAATAAATTTGATGTAACAACAAAAAAAATTGATTGTAGTATTAAGTTAAAGATGAAGAAAATAACAAAAAAAAAAAATACATAAAAGATAAATTTATTCTTAAAAACAAGATCATTAAGAACTAGGCGGGGAAAAAAACACAATCATATTCAATTAAATAATAATTAAGTATTTAGGAAGTCAAAAGAATTTTAAACGTTTTGTCAGGCAGTGAGCTGCTAAATAATGATTTTAAAATATTTATTGTCTAAAAAACACTGTAAAACAAATTAAAACTTAATAAAATTGTGTGGAACACCCATACCCAAAAAAAAAAGATTGCTCCCGATAACTTAATGACGAGCACGCATAATTGCCCTTGCTAAAATCGCGCTCACTACTTATTCTTATTGGTTATCACCAATAAGAATAAGTTTAGCACCAACATTTTTTTACCTGATATTGTAATATTTTGACACGCAGGGAGTTGTCAGTTTCCTTTTTTTTACTGTTTAGTACATTAATAATACCAAATTTATAAATATTTTTTTCACATTCACATATTAACACTGTAGCGTGGTGGTTATCAAGTACAAACTGGCATAAGTGCAAATTGGCACAAGTGCATCGAACAAATTTGCTCACATTGGCATAAATGCGAATTGGCATAAGTGCGTCGAATTAAGTTTCAAATATTAGCATTAGTATTTCGCACTTATGCCAATTCGCACTTATGCCAATTCGCACTTATGCAAGCGCGCACTTATGCCAGTTCATACTTATGCCAATGTTTGTAAATTTATTTGGCGCACTTATGCCAAATCGCACTTGTGCCAGTTTTTGCAACTGCTTTGCACTTATGCCAGTTCGAATTTATACATACTTGTTTACTCATAGACCAATGTTTTATCATGATGACTAGAGCATGAGTTATTGTTCACCCTTTCCCGGAGTCCAAAAGTTTTATTCCTGCTACAAAATAGTCTGTACACATTCATTCATGATTCTTACCCAATAACATCATCTACAATCTACTTTATTTTCACCTCTCAGGTCTACGTAACTGGACGGCTCCATTAGTCATTTTTTGCGATCATTGTGTCGCATTAAAAAATAAAAAAATAAAAAGATTTTGTAAAAAACCACATTAACTTTTGAATGACGATTATGTAAAAAAGTTTGAATGACAATTATGTTAGATATAAGCGCTATTAACTAATAAAAAAAAACTCAAATAAAATTAAAAACTATGAAAACTTAATGTCTATTAAGATTATTTTATTGAAATATTTAGTAACAGAAAACAAAGTTGTTTATAGTTAACCATAAATTTTTTTTTTTGTATAAGTTATTAAAAAAGAAACCATCCAAAATTATAAAAAATAAGTTAAAAACTACCAAAACCAAAAAAGAAATCTATATAATAAAAATTTTAAGTAACTATCTTGCAAGCACAAGAATATTAATATAACTTTTTTATAATTTTGATTTTAAAAATATATAATTTAATTTTGATTTAAAAAATTTATTTAAATTTATTAAAATTAAAGTTAATGCTTGGGTTTAATTTAACTGTCAAATTTATTTAAAAATATTACTAAATATTATTCAATATTGAAAGTTTGTTTGTTTAAAAAAAAAATTAGTTCAACAATAAGACTGTAAGCAACCATTATTAGAGTTGGAAGTTATTGGAAGTTAAAAGATGAGCAAGATAACAATTGACAGATGACTTAAAAGTTTGCAAATTGTATAAATCAGGAAAGCAAGATAAAGGAAACAAATTCCAAAGAATTGATGTTCAAGGAAAAAAAACAAGATGAATAAGTGTTTTTGGAGCACTTAGGAACAGTCACAATAAAAGGATGAGACTTAATTGAATAACAAGTAACTCAATAATCTTAAAGAATGAATTTTAGTAGATAGCACAAGAGTGGCTAGCTCTTATAGCAGCACCTATTATAGTATTTGTAGAAAAGAGAAAGAGAAGAAACATTACGATGATGTGATAATGGTTGGAGGTTAGCTGCAAGAGCAGGTCCAACTATGTTTACAATGGATTTTTGCACCTTGTCTAAAAGAGAAAGGATATTATTGGAAGATCCACCCCAGATATGGCAACAATATTCCATACAAGGACAGGTTTTATCTGAGTTAAAATTCACTAGCCACTGAGAGCCCCATGCTGTAGCAGAAGTGAGATTCTTTACATACTTAAATGCCCCCTCCAATCAGTCAGAGAGTATTGGCTTCTTATCAAGACAAGATTGAATGATAGTAAAATCAGAAAACAATGCCACCTTAGATGTGAGAATATCTGGAAGATTGTTAATGTAAGTTAAAAAGAGTATAGGGCAAAGGATATAATCTTGAGGAACCCCTGAGTTACAGAATATGAAGAAGAGTGCTGTCCATTAAGGACAACTTTTATACTACAACAGGTAAGAATGGATTCAATAATCTTAAAGATGTTACCTGATACACCGTAAGAAGAGAGCTTATGGAGAAGACAAGCATGTCAAACTTTATCAAAAATTTTTAAAATATCAAAAGCAATAGCCTTAACCTCTTCACATCTATCTAATGCACGATAAATCCTATCAGTTGTTACTGTCAACAAATCAGCAGAAGAACGATAAGTTTGATATCTGTATTAATGATCACAAAGTAAGTTATTAAGTTCAAATTGAAAGATTAATTGTTTGTTAATAATAGACTCAAAAACCTAAACACAAGCTGTGGAAGAGTCTAAGCAGGTAATTACTTAATATATGGAGTGATACGATTGTCAAGCAATGGATCAACCTGTTTTTTGCCGATATCAGGTAGAATATGATTAGATTAATGAAAAGTTCTTAGAAAAGGTTTTAGAAATTTTAAAAGCAATAGCCTTAAACTCTCCACATCTATCTTATGCACAATAAAACCTATCCGTTATTACTTAAGAGAGATGGAATAACAGTTTTGCCCTTATTATAAACACTGTTAAATATTCAGAAGTCTTGAGAGATTTTGTGACATGAGAACAATGCGCTATTTTTATAAGAAAGGATACTAAATGTCAATAAACAGTCATATTCATTATTTATTTATGATAAATATTAAATATTGATAAATTATATATTAATTATATTAATTATTTTTTTATTAACATAATTATTTAACATAACTTCGGACCATTAGTATCATTTGTTTAATTTTAAAAGTTCATTTTAGTAAATGTTCCTGATCTATCATAGTTCCTGAAGTTTAGTAATTTTTCTAGATTAATTTTAATTAATATTTAGGATTTATTTTAATTGTTTAATTGGCAGATTTTTTTCGTTTTTCAGGATAGCGATGAAGCGCTGCAGAAAGCCTTCTTCCTCTATTTTTATACCATGCATCCAAAACGAAATTTGGGTTGAATTTCTTGATGCTGCATCCTTCTCCTCCTATTTGTAAAGAGATTCAAGACGATTGCGAGATCCCATTTTACTCTGTTAATGCAGAAAACATATGTTCTACTTAAACATTTGTAAACAGAATTTTGTAAACAAAATTTCTGAATTCAGCAAAAATTATGTCACAAATATTTTTTTTTCCATGTTTTCAAATAATATTCACTATGTCACTATGGTATGAAACAGCTGTTAATATAGTTAGATTAACAGCTGTTTCATACCAGAAATATATTAAACATGTAAGTTACAAGAGTCTCAGTGAAATTAGTTATATTTCTTTTTAAGATCCATAAAAAACTGAGTTCACAGTTTTTTAAGAAACTAAAAATTGAAACAAGAAATATTTCTGGAAATTTCAACTCACGATTACTTAATTCGCTCCTTGTATGTATCTATGTATGTATGTACACTTGACCACACTTGTGGTCATTGTTAAAATCAACTCACGATTACTTAAAATTGTGGCCTTCTGATAAAAAAAAATTTTTTAAGCTTATTCCTTTTATTAAATTTTGGGTGAACAATTTTTATGATCAACAACAATTTTGGGTGAACAATTTTTATGATCAATAACAATTAAAAATCTTACAATTAACTTTTAAATATGACTTAAGATATCTATTTAAACAATATAAATATAAATGTTGTTCAACATGTTTTCTTTGATAAATGTTATGAAAAAGCAGGGATGCGGAGTCCCAGAAGGACTCTGGCTTTATATCTCTATTTTTTTCAGGTGTGTAGTGTCCAGAAGCTCTGAACATGTTTGTTGACTTATGATCTGCCATAAGAAAAAAAATCATGAAGTTTAATGACTTGGAACTTATTGTTTTTAAGCCCGTAGTCCTGGAGTCCTTGCTACCATTATAGCTATAGACTCCGGGTTCAAAAAAAAATTATTCTTCTATCTTAAAGTATTAATTTTGTTAAGTTCATAAACTTTTTTATATTTTTAGAACTTATGGCTACCAAAAACTAGGAAGAAGTAATCCTTTTGTGACTTTTAAATCCAGAGTGCTTTTTAGGACTCCACATCCCTGTGAAAAAGTATTTTGCAACTAAATAAACCAACGAAATTATATGTATATATATATACATATAATATATATATACATTAATAATAAAATATTTTAACTCTTATTAAAATAAAATTGGAAAGCTTACCAACACATGAACTGCAAAAGAATTTTTTTTCCATATTTTTCTTAAACACTACAACAGATATCTTTGGAGTATCAGAACGCAAACAAGAAAATTTATTTATAAGAGAATCATTGCTCTGTTTTTCTGATTGACTGTTCTAAAATAAATTTATTTTTATTTTTAACTATATATTATTATTTTTTTGATATAACACTTCAGTTTTTATAAATACCATTTTTATAATATGATATTCAAATATACTATCATAAATATGCTATTTAAAGTATCAACACATGGTTAGTAAAGGATTAAATTAAAAAACCTAAAAACCCTATTATGACTAAGTTCAAACTTCTTTGTATTTATCATTAAGATTTTTTTAGTATTAGAATTAAATGTATTAGTAGAGCTGACCACATTTCAATGTATTAGATCTGACCACATTCTTTAATAAATTTTTAAAGCACAGAAAAACAATTATTAATTAGTTAACACAAAAATATCTGGTAATTAAAAAAAAAATAGATTTAATACTTAACTTTTACATATAAACCTCAAATTTAAAAAAAAAGTTTTTTTTTTAACAAAATAAAAAAAAACTCAAAAAAAAATTTATAAATGTTTTGACAATAAATGCAAGAAAATAAATTTCATCAAAAGTTTTTAAATACAATTTTGAGTAACAAACTAATTTATTAACATTAAAAACAAATTGAAATTGCCAAATTCAGTGATGTAGTGACAGTGATGTATCCCATTGTTATACTTTATTTTGTAGGAAATATTCATGATTTTTAAACAGATTTTATAAATGCAATATAAAAAAAAATATATAAAAAAAGTTAAGTTATTTTAATTTTTTTAAATATAAATTAAAATTATTTTAATATTTATTTCTTACTTTATAACTATTTCTTGTTTGATACAGTCAATAAGAAACTTATTGTTAAGGAATATACAGTATATAAATTGATTTTAAAACTCAAATTTAATTTTAGTTCAAGTTAATTTTAAACTAATATAAGTCAATCAGCCAATACAAATCAATGCAAAACAAATGATTACAAATCATTATAAGTCAATGTTGTCATAGCTAGTTGTTATGGCCTATAAATTAATGCATAACAAACATTTGATTTATAATTACATATTTTAAAATTTAACATAAAATGTTAAAAAAAAAAAAGATAAAATATTGTGTGAAAAATTGAAAATTACTAAACAAATTTTAAAACAAATAATAAAATGATATTAAATGATATAAAATAACAAACTTTTTATTAAACATAAAGTATTATTGTTGATAATTTTAATATATTTTATAAGAGTTGTCATTAAACAATTTTAAGTGTTGTTGTGCATGTTGGTTTGGGTGTAAATTATATTTAAATTATTTAAAAAATAAAATAACTATCAACAAAAAAAACTTTATATGCTTTATAGTATATTATTATAAAAAAAAGAATTATTTTACATAATTTATAATGATAATATAATCACTTTATAATAATATGCTTTTGTGTGTATGGGTATTTTGACATGTTATTAACAATATTTTATCTACACTTAATTAATACAGTATACTTTTAAATTGTACTTGATTGAAAGAAGGCTTGATAATAGATTTTATTTCACCTGACGCTTCTGTCTTTCATTTTTGAGTGCAACTTCTCTCCTTAATAATTCTTCCTTTACTTGCTGATTCTATTATATATATATATATATACAGGTGATTATATAATTCATGAATATATATATATATATATATATATATATATATATATATATATATATATAATTATTTTTAAAAATAACACGTTGTTTTTCCTTCTTGACATGTTTCTTAAAATTTTATTTACATTTTCAAAAGATTATTTTACAATAATAAAACTCTGAAATAAATATTAAAAAATAGTCTTTACATTCCAATGTACAGAAGCTAAAGTATCTTATATTTAAGCTATTAACAATGTTAGAAACAAATGGGTTCATTTTCTTATCAATATAGGATTTAATTTCAGACTCAATAATTTTTTGTGGAAATTTATTATTTAGTAAAAGTAATGACAGATTCTTAATATATTTATCAAAACCAACCCAAGTACTATTAATTTTAAATGTATGATCAATCAAACAATGAACAAGCCCAAATTTGTAGCAAGAAGTAATAAAACTTAAAAAATTTTGTAAAAGACCTGTTTACTTTTTTTTTGTGATAAACTGAAGTCAATAATGAATTGGATTTTTTAATAAGTACATAAAAGACCTGTTTATGTTTTTTTTGTGATAAACTGAAGTCAATAATGAATTGGATTTTTTAATAAGTACATCTAAAAAAGCAATCTGGTTATCTTGTTCTTTTTCCATAATAAATTTCAAATGTTTACGTTATTTATTGAGGTGTTTGAAAAATCCTATATGGATAAGAAAATGAACCCATCTGTTTCTAACATTGTTAATAGCTTAAATATAAGATACTTTAAGCTTCCATACATTGGAATGTACTCTAATTATACTAAAATGAAAATTTCAAAAATTGTTCATAAATATAGCAAGAATGTTTTAATAAAATTAACTTTCACAACTAATAAAATACAAGATTTTTTTGCTTGAAAAAGTCACTTCCTAAATTGCTTAAATCTCATGTTGTCTATAAATTTTCTTGTGCTGGCTGTAATGCTAGTTATATTGGAGAAACCTCCAGACATTTGGCAACTAGATATATGAGCACCTTGAAAGTGATAAACAATCTCATATATTTGGGCACTTAAATTTATCTGTTAATAGCAAAGGTCTGATTTTGGATAACCCCCCAACCAAACACGGATTGGGGATAAAAGGGGCCTTCCACATTAAATCGGAAAGTCCCTCACTTAGTGGGCAGCTTTCACAGTATGTTATAAACTTATCTGTTTGGTTTTACTGTCAGTTTATCATTATTATTGATTGTTTTTTTTTACAGTTAGTTATATTGATTGGTTGTTTGCCGAGTTATTTTCTAATAAATACATTGGTTCATTATGTAAATTTTTCTTCATTATTATTTCCCTGTAAAGACTTCTATTTTTTAATATTTATTTCTGAGTTTTATTATTGTAAAATAATTTTTTGAAAATGTAAATAAGATTTTACGAAATGTGTCAAGAATATAAAACATCTTATTTTTAAAAATTATTAATTATTTTATGCTATTACAACAATCACAATTATTAATTATTTTATGCTAATACAACAATCACAATATCGAGTGCGATCGCACCCGCTTCCCTTCCAAGCCTATATATATATATATATATATATATATATATATATATATATATATATATATATATATATATATATATATATATATATATTTTTTTTTTTTTTTTTTTTTTTTTTTTAACATCTTCACTTCCAACAAGGCTGCAAGCAACCACTATAAGAGTTGGAAGTTACTGGAAGAGAAAAGACTAAAACTGTAGAGCAAGATAACGATTGACTGATGACTTAAAAGATTGCAAATTATATGAATCAGGAAAGCAAGATGAAGGAAGCGAATTCCAAAGAACTGATGTTCGAGGAAAAAAACTAGAAGAATAAGAGTTTTTGAAGCACTTAGGAACAGTCACAGAAAAAGGATGAGACTTAATTGAATGGCGAGTAACACGAGAATGAATTTTAGTAGATGGCACAAGGGACGCTAGCTCTTTAGAGCAGTGCCCATTATAGTATTTGTAGAAAAGAGAAAGAGAAGCAACATTACGACGATGTGACAAAGGTTGGAGATTGGCTGCCAGAGCAGGTCCAACTATGTTTACAATTCGTTTTTGCACCTTGTCTAAAAGAGAAAGAGCATCATTAGAAGATCCGCCCCAGATGTGGCAACAGTATTCCATACAGGGACGGATTTGAGATTTATAGAGATAGAGAATAGAATCTGGAGTAAGAAAGTGTCGAGCTCGATAAAGAGATGCAACCTTAGCAGATGCTAATTTTGCAATGGATTTGATATACGGTTTAAAAGAAAGATCAGAAGTAAGAGTTAATCCTAGAAGATGAATGGTAGATGACTCATCTAGTACATTACCATTCATAAATATAGGAAGATCTAAATTATTACGATAACGACTGGCCGAATAAAATTGAGTTTTATCTGAATTAAAGTTCACCAGCCACTGTGAGCCCCATGCTGTAGCAGAAGTGAGATCCTTTTCAAGCTCAGATACCCCCTCCAAGCAATCAGAGAGTGTAGGCTTCTTATCATGACAAGAGTAAATGGTAGTGTCGTCAGCGAATAATGCCACCTTAGATGTGAGAATATCTGGAAGATCGTTAATGTAAATTAAAAAGAGTATAGGGCCAAGGATTGAACCTTGAGGAACCCCTGAAGTTACAGGATGTGAAGAAGAGTGTTGTCCATCAAGGACAACTTTTATACTACGATTGGAAAGAAAGGACTCAATTATCTTAAAGACGTTACCAGATACACCATAAGAAGAAAGCTTATGGAGAAGACCAGCATGCCAAACTTTATCAAAAGCTTTAGAAATGTCAAGTGCGATAGCCTTAACCTCTCCACCTCTATCTAATGCACGGTAAAACCTATCGGTTATTACTGTTAGCAAATCAGCTGTAGAACGAGAAGACCGAAATCCATATTGATGATCAGAAAGTAAGTTATTTGATTCAAGATGAGAGATTAAGTGTTTGTTGATTAAAGATTCAAAAACTTTGCTTATGACAGGAAGAAGACTAATGGGGCGGTAGTTAGATGAATCAGATCGCTCTCCGGAATTTTTGAAAATAGGGATAACAGATGCTGCTTTCCAGCATAATGGAAAACAAGACTCTGATAAGCACTTGTTAAATAGTTTAGAAAGTATGGATGAAAGCTCCGGAGAACACCTCTGCAAGACTACAACAGGAATGTTGTCAGGACCACAAGCTGTTGAAGAGTCTAAGCAGGAAATTACTTTAGATACAGAAGCTGAAGTGATGCGAATGTCAAGCAAGGGATCAACCTGTTTGACGGCTATGTCAGGTAGAACGCAACTAGTGGAATCAAGAGATGATATTGATGAAAAGTTCTTTGCAAACAATTCAGCTTTGTCTTTAGGTGAGGTGACAAAGTCTGAACCATACAAGAGAGAAGGAATAACAGATTTGCCCTTATTATTGATACTGTTAAAGATTCTCCAGAAGTCTCGAGAGCCTAATTTTTGTGATGAGATACGAGATTTAATGACCTGGGAATAGCGAGCTTTGGCGTCAGACAAAACCTTTTTACAATGGTTTCTAGCGATAGTGAACAGATGTCTGTTTTCTGGAGAATTGTTTTGCTGATAGATATGGAAGTAACGGTTTCGATTAGAAATTGCTGAAGCGCAATGTGAGGAAAACCAAGGAGAAGAGTGAGGCTTGACCTGGAATCGTTGAGAGGGAATAAAAGATTCCATGCCAGCCTGAATCCACGAAGTTATGTAAGAAGCACATTTGTCAGCAGGAAGACGAAAGATTTCTACCCAAGGGCCATCACGAAGAAAATCACGGAAAGAGTCCCAGTCAGCTTTAAGGTAGTTGTATGTGGTACGATGATAGGGGGATTCTGATGAAGTAGAAGAATTTGATAATAGTTTTAGAGAGATCAAACCGTGATCAGAAGTACCTAAGGGTGAATGTGGAGAAATTGAGCACTGACTAGGATCCAAAACAAGACATAAGTCGAGTAGAGAAGGTAAATGATTAGAGTTGTCTGGAAAACGAGTTGGAAAGTTGACTATTTGAGTTAGAGATTGAGAAAGGCAAAAGTTGAGGGCCTTAACGCCAGCAGAGTCACTGACACTAGAGCCAAGCCAATCGGTGTGATGGGCATTAAAGTCACCAACAACGACGATATTGGCCGATGGATAAAGAGAGAGGGCTTGGTCAATTTGATCAGAAATAACATCAAGAATAGTGCAATCTTGGGATGAAGGAGAGCGATATAGAACAAAGAGAAAGGCCATAGAGTGAAGTTGTGCTAAACGAAAGCACATAAATGAATAGTCTGGAGATTCACACCTAGTTTCACGACAAATGGGTGAGTTCTTACGAATGTAGATGCCCAGGCCAAGCATGTGATTATTGGAGTCTTTACGAATTAAAGGAAGATAACCATCAACACTAAGATCACAAGATGGGACAGCCGAACTCAAATTAGTCTCACAAAGAGCAAGTAGGTCTGGTGAACTTTGCAAGAGATAAGACTCAACAGAAGAAAAGTTACTTCGAAGACCACGAATATTAGTAAATGATAGGTTTAGAGAACTTGGTGATGACGATGGTTTTTTGTGTTTATTAGTTTTAGGTACTTTAGTCATTTTAAATTTATAAAGAACTTGACTCAAGTATAGATAGTACTCAGTACACTATTTAACAACTAAGCAATAGCCTCATTACTATTAATAAACCCTAAGCCGTAGCAAAGGGCTCCAAATGTGGCCTCTGCAATGCACACCAAAAGTACAAACAGGGACACCATCCATGCGCAACATGGCACTGTTAGTACTCTGATATTTTTCGGCTGTTGATGGAATCAGCCTCTCTGAGAGCTACCACAGAGTTCGGGAAACCTGACTACCAGCCGGCCTCAGAACCATAAAACTGAGTTTTAGAGCTGTACCCTCATTAGGAGATAATAGAATGAGTTGCCCAGTCATAAAAATAGAGACACAAGCAATACC